AAAAAGTTATCAGTTTTAGATGTACATCCAGTGATTAATCTCTTAGAGCTTCATTAAAATCTGTCTGGTAATTCCAGCAATAAATTGCTAAAAGACACGAAAACACACAGACATGCAGACACACTTACTGATACATACATGGTCACCTACTTTTTAGGTAATAATTAGAAAAACTTAGTAAAATATATTGAGTTTGACACAATAGCAATTATAGTTTAATAAACTCCGTGTTTGTATTTGTTGGGTTTTGCTGTTATTTTTAAATTATTGTTTTCTGAGCTCTTGCTTAGTTTTCTGTTGCCTAAATCATAACAAGTAAAAAAAAAATGCTGCATTTTCAACATTTTACATTTAGTACAGTGTTTGAGTTTGTTTKATGGCAGGAACACAGCTGGCCTTTTTGTTTCGGAGCTTTGCTTCATTAGAAATGCCTTTTTTTTTCTTTCTTTCCTTTTTTTAATCTGATGACTAACCCGGAGGCGTGGTTCACTTCTGAACCTCGAGCTGTTTGTGGTTCAAATGAGCCTCAGTGTTATATTTACTTCCACCGCTTGCGGTTAGCTCTACATGTCAGCCKCTTGTTCGCATCCAAGTAGCTTTTCAAGACATTTATCACAGATCTCCTCCTCCTTCTTGTTTTCTTTTTATTTTTTTAGAGAAGATTTTTACTCTAGATCTGGTTTTAAACACAAAGCTGTTAGTTGTTGCACTTGGGATGTCTTTCTCTGGTGTGGAAAAAGGGAAAAAAAGAGAGTAATTTTGGGGGGAAAGTGCTGCTTATGATTCTGAATCAAATCCAGCCATTTCCTGAACGCTGAGCCAGAGCTACTCAGCGCTCCATATATGGAAAAGGTATTTGCATGAAGGAGGAAAAAAAAGAAAAAAAAACTGGGCTTATAGATCAGGACGGGTGTTGGAATTCCTTTTGCATGAACATAGTGCTCTGATTAAGTTTTAGATTTTAAGTGAATCAAATTTTCTCACTTTTCTTTGCATATGGTTTTATTATGTTTAAATCTTATTCCATGTTACAGTGATGTGAGATCTGTTTTCTCTGTTGTGTTTCTTTATGTTTGGAKGGAAGTCTGTGCCTCCATAGTGATGCTGTTGTTATGCCTACACTACATGTTGTACCACACATCCCTTGTGTTTGTGCTCACCACGTGTGTTTGTGTGCATACCTGTATTTACTCCACCACCACAGACCTTCACTGTTGATAATTAGCTGAAAGGGTTTTGACTCATCAAAACTGAGGTGAAAATTGTACCCTTAGATAATCAGAAACAAAAGGGAGGATGTTAGTAGCTATTTTAAAAGAACAACATCAGTTTATTGTGTCACTGAGACTGCAGGATGCTWTTTGTTCATTTGTGAGGACACAGATGCTTTAAGTAGAGACATGAGGGACAGTTTAAGGAAAAATACAAACAATAACATGAAACAGAAACTTAAACCTGATTATGACCAAGCAATACAAAAAGAAACAAGTAAACAAACTATTCATCCATCTATTATCTATACCTGCTTCTTCCTTTCAGAGTCACGAGGGTCACTGGTGCCCATATCCAGCAGTCACAGTGTGACGGGG